CTTAATTACCAATGGTACTTAAGCCTCCGAGGGTACTACCAAGTACTGCTTGGTAACCAGTGTTTTATCACTCGAGAACTACCAAAGAAGCCCCAATTCGTCGCTTGAGCAGCCCACAACCCCGTCCAAATCCACCCGCTCACAACAATCACGACGCAGTGCCTTCCCCCAAGCACGAGCTCCGCCACCACTGCCAGAAGAGTCTGAGCCGCCACCAGAAGCCGCACTTGCAACCCAAACGCCACCGAGGTGTCTGTTCCGTCGTCTGAAGCCTTGAAGACTCTGTTAGCGAGTCAGTATTGCCCCCAAGAAGCCTCGCAGTCGGCACCTACTTGCTGTTCGTCGTGAAGAGGCTGCTGCTTTCAGACGTGCGTTGTGTTAGACGCGTGAAGCTACAGCCGTTGGTCCGCTCTGCTGGCGAGTACCTCAACCACATTTACGACTTGACACGACCTGTGTGCTCCTTCACGTGTGTGCCTGGCGAGTAAGTGTGACGAGGTGTCAGTCATTATGGATGCCAGTCTAAAGGCGCAATTCTGGAATGAAGGCTACCTTGTCGGAAACTTAAGACTACCGCCTCACACTTTGGAGAAAGCTAAACAGGAAATCGAGCAGCTGGACTTCAGACCTATTTTTGGTGAAGTGTATGAAGTAGAACGTGACCATTTCCGTCTTCAAGCTCCTATTGCTACATTTGGTCCGGCTACAAACAAAATATACAAGCGAGTGAAGGGTATTGTGGAAGGATCTGATAAAAATTGGTACACCAAAAAGTCTATTTGGAACGCATTGAAATCACTTCCGGAGGGCCTTCGCCAAGGCATCCACCTAGATTTTCCTTCATTCGAGACAAGCAAAGCGAAACTGGAAAAGGGTATTGTTCAGGCGTCTGTCATTATTGCTCTTCAATCAGACACACAGGTCTACGTCTATCCTGGCTGATTTGGAGTCTATGCAGAAATGGACAAATGCAAACTGTTGTCACTCGACGCGGGCGCATTCCTGCTGTTCCGCGGAGACTTGGTCCATGCAGGGGCTGAATTTGAAGAGGAAAATTTGAGGCTGCATTGTTACGTACGTGTACGTGGAATTCCACAGAAGGCCGACGCAACTGAAGCTGCTGAGAGCGACGACGAAAGTGAGGACGCAAGCGAAGAAGAAGTCGAGGAAGAGGAGGGTGGGGAGGTGGGAGAAGCAGAAAGCGCGGAGGAGAGCGAGTGGGAGAGTGAGGCGGAGAGTGCACAGGACAGTGAATACTGAATACACAATTTAATTTGTTTTTCTGTTTATTTTAAGCTAAATAAAAAAAGCGATCCGTATTGTCAGAGTAAGCGATCCGTATTGTCAAAGTCAGCGATCCGTATTGTCAGAGTAAGCGATCCGTATTGTCAGAGTAAGGGATTTTTAATGCCATAGAGGCTTAACGTACGTATTCGTTTCACGTAGCAACTGAATCTTATAGACTGCATTCGCAGGAAAACAATATGGTAATACTGGAACAAAGTGGACGTCAGCAGCAAGACCACAGTGAAGATCGGAGACATCAACGATATCTTTGTGGCTATCAAACCAACAGCTGAACGGCGGAAAATCGACATGAGGAGACGCGAGGGTAGATCCAACAGACTTCACTGCGTCCTTGTGCAAGACTAACCGGCTTAAGAGCACGATATATGCTTACTACATTTTAATGGGAATTAAATCCCACGCGAGGTCATCATCAGCCTTATCGGCTGTCCGTGTGTTCAACTCGCAAAGACACTATACGTATAACAAGAAACATAGCAAGAAGAAGGCAATAAGGCGATGAAGTGATGGTATATTCAAGCAAACATTCATTTCGTGTGTCTACAACAACGATAAAGCTGGACCGTTAAGGATCGGACGTCCACGTTTGGACTGGTCTGCTTCGGCTGCTTCTGCGATCTGATCTTCTAAGGTTTTTCTTTTGTTGCGCCGGCTGCGGTTGAACAACTTTCTCTTGCCAGGTTGGTCAGTACCAAACCTTGTATTAAAGGCGAAGAGAAGATGTACACACTGGCCTTTGTGGAAAAAGTTATTACACGGGCAAGTGCGAGTAGTTAGATCCACTGACCATCCTTCCTCCGGCTGTTCATCTCTTTCCATTCTAGCCGCATTAGTACCAAGTTGCACAGCCACATCCACAACTTCCATCGACTTCCTCTTCGGCTTCACGTAGATTCGAGGTGTAGCTTTAGAAACGACAAGTACAAAATTGCTGGAGTCGTCGAAGGATGGAGTCTCAACGAGCAGTTGCTGTCGGCGCAAAGCTGTCGCGCGCCGTCGAAGCCTGCTGCTAGCGGTAGATGTTTCATGGAATGCAGCACCCGACACGCTCTCCATTCGACAACAAACTTGAAGTTGACCAAGCAAAGACCCCATTAGCATTCGCTCTCGTAAAGTGTAGGGTTTCTTCAGCTTGGCATTGAACGTTTCCACGGGATTATTTGTAGTTGCCCAACCAACAGGCGTACGGAAGCACTGCCATTTCACAAACTTTCCTGTCAGCCACTGCTGCAGAAAATACTCTCCAAATCGCTCGACATCTGGGTCGGCAAGCCACCCTCCCGCACTGCAAACGTCATTTTTAGCATGAGATTTTCGAGACGTTACTTTGGGTTAATGCATAGTCAAATATATCGGCCAAGACCAGGGTACTCTTACCGGGGAGGAGAATACCTCTTCCCGCTCCTGAACTTTTTGCGAAGACCGGGAGGAAAAAGCAGATCAAAAATCTCTGGTTTACAAAAATCCGTCGTACAAATAGATGATCATCACTAATTGTACTAGAGACTCGCGTATGGCCATGTATCCAGGGAAAGAGTAGGATGTATGTATACAGCCGGCCTTATCC